CTTGGTTAAAGCCTATAAACCAATTCCCATACCTTCTGACGACAATCCCAAGACTGCTATAATCACTCCTTCCAGTCTCTACGAGTTTTTGCGCATGTCTTCCGGCTGAAGAAATGCTGCCTAAACCTTCCGTAGGTTCATCGATGACGTCTTTCGATGTCTCACCTTTGTACATGCGTACATACAGAGTATTTCATCTCCAGTATCTGGACCTCGTCTTCGAACGACTACAAAAGTATGGCATTACTGTAAACATTCAGAAATGTCAAGTCGGCAACGAATATCTAGATTTTTTCGAATACACTACTGATGCTCGATGCATCCGACCTTTAAAAAGCAAAGTGGTGGCCATTACGGTTAACCCAGAACCGACCACAATCAAGCAATTGCGCACGTTTAACGGACCAGTAAGTTTCTATTAACTGTTCATAATGGATTGCGCGTCTCTTATGAGACTTTTAACGGAACAACTTTGTGGAAATGCGAAATCCATCAATATGGACGATATCGCGAATAAAGCGTTCTTCACACTTAAGGAACTTATCATGAAAACCACATTGCTCGCACATCAAGACACCAAAGCACCAATTAGTGTCACAGTAGGTGCATCCGTCTCCGCGATCGGAGGAGTCTTACAACAACCCATAAACAACGACTGACAACATTTTTCGTTCTTCTCAAAACGGTTGCTATACACTAAATCGAGGTACAGCACTTTCAGCAGGGAACTCTTAGCCATGCATTGTAATGATGAACGAAAACGTGAGGGAGTAGGCACAGTTCTGTGTAAGCTACCAGAAATCTAAGGTGACTAGACACGGTCAATATTCCTTAGGCCCTTTCGAAACTCCAGATGCACCTTTCGATTAGGTTTATCTGGATCTGGTAGGACCGTAACCAAGTTCAAACGGATACTCTTATCTCTTAACTCTTGTAAACCTTTTCATTCTGTGTCCAGAAGCAATACTCATCAGGGATATAACTGCTGAAACAGTGGATCGTGCCTTCTTTGAACGGTGGGTAGCAAACTTCGGTTGCTAATCAACTGTCACTACAGACCGTGAACGCCAGTTCGAATCTGGACTTTTCCGTTGTATTACTACGCTACTTGGAGCCACACGGTTCCAAACGACCACCTAACACCCACAAGCAAACAAGTTGTTAGAACGCCATCACTGATATTTAAAAGCTTCACTCCCGATTGCGAAGGTTTCGCAGTAAACTGACGCTCTTACAACCGTTTTATTCGGCATTCCCAATGCAGTGAAAGATGACATTGGGTACACTGAAGCTAAACTCGTATACGTAACGACACTCTGACTTCCGAGGAGACTTACTGGTCCATCTTCTTCACTGAATGCTGATCTAAACGCTCACATGAACAGGCTTACAAACGCCATGTGTCCAGTTAAACATTTTCCACCCAACTGCAGTCAACTGATGTTTTCGTTCAACCTGCCTTGCGACATAGTACACACGTCCTTGTACGTTGCGACTCAATAGAGCGAGCTCTTGAAATTGCATACGAAGGATCCTTCAATGTTCTTTAGCTTATACATAAGTACTATATGATCAATAAGGACGGAACAAACAATAACATCGGCATCGATCGTCCTAAAGTCGTTCATTTAGGAGAACACTCTAATAATGTTGATTTTCCTCAGGTACACTCGGACGACACGAATCACACAACTACAAAATCCCACCTGATAATTAACAAATACAAAGAAAATCCGGTGGTATTTGGCAAACGGCTTAAAACAACGCTCTGTGAGAGAAGGCTAAAGCTTACGGAACGCTTAGATGAACTTTTAATATCGAGCAGCTTCAGTATCTGTCTCTTCTACACTTTACTCACTATGTAAATTTATTTCTTACTAATAACCTAAAAAGCCTAGGTTTATTGCACTTATTTTTTTCAATAACAAACCAAATTCTCGTAATATGATGCAGCCCTTCTGATCTCTCTTTACTTTACAAAAATGGGTAATTTAGTAAATTCATGTTTGATCATTGCTTCATATAAATAGCATGTACTGCATTGCTATCATTTCTCTAAGAATGGTACTGATGAAATACCTCTGTATTTTTCGGAGAATGTCTAAAAAATTACCTACTATCTTCAACATATTCATGTTATTAATACAATAAGTTTCTACTGATTATGTGACAGCTAATAGCTGTGTCGAAACTACAATACCAGACAGTTAGAACATGGGAATGAAGAACACCAGAAATGTAAATTATCACTATAAAATAAATGTTCTATGAATACTCTAGAAGCAAAAGTAAGTGTTGTAAATATCATGAAGATGGAATAAGAACAATAAAGAAATAGTATGTCGGAATTCTATGTACATAAATATCAAACAACTGATAGACATAACAAGCCGTACCATTATTATAATCGAAAATGGATGCTGATTATCATCAAGTAGTATAATGTAACACACAAAAATTAACAGGGTGAGGTGAGAATGCAAATAAAATGCAAGCAGAATTGACATTGATAGCATCTGTGTTTTTACGAATCTTTCATAGTCGGAGACTTAATTTGAGAGGCTTATCCAAGAATCCTGAAGTGCAGTATCTAAAGCGATTGAGGTGGGTAAGCACATAAAGTTCTGTATATCGCCGGGTTAAACAGAACTCGTCTTTATTGATACTCGATCTCGATGTTGTTCATTTTAAACGTCAGGAAGTACAATTCAACAGCGATCAGTTAATGTTATTGCAGCTGGAAGTTTATCACTGCATTAAAATTCTCCAGTTGCTGGTGTAGCATGGCGTCGAGTCCCAATTGACTATGAACACCGCTACAGAGAAACACGTGCCAAATAAATTCATAAAATCCCCCGGAAGCCAAATATCAGAAGGCAGTTAATAGACCAAGTCGAGATATATTTGCTGGCGATCTCGTGGTATCGAAAGGATACCGAGACCGTGCTAGGATACAAGCTTGGTTACAGAACGTAACCGAATTCGCGCGAAGTCACAATCAAAGTGTAAGAATAATGGATGCTTTTTAGCACAGTTAAACAAAAGCATATTAAAACAGTCACTGGTACAATTGGTTATAATAATAATTGTTTTCAGTAAACCAATCGTGTTCTCGTAATAAAAGTGAGTCACTACACTGGAAAATTAAGAATTTTCAAACCAGCGATAATGTAGGAACAATAAACCTTGGTCACGTCATTCAGTGTTGCCCATCAAATTTTAATTTCAGAAAACTGATCAACATAGGTATATAACTCGTCTCAACTCCTTGAAGTCATATCTGCTTATTAAGAATCTAATTATTCTCTGGACTACACTAAAGTGACATGATAAGATCGCCATTAGGTTGCGGTGAAGTGGCCCTTCAGTTATCGAGATATGTAGCCGTTACACGAAGATGTGTAAATTAGCCATTCACATTGTGGGTTGAGGCCAGTATTTGGGTGATATTACCATACTAAATACAACTCCTAGAAGCTAATTCCTCGAGTAGCCTTACAAGATTAGCAGAAATCTTTAACCTGGGACTTTATATTCATTAACTGAATTTATTATTACAACCAAAATTTTCTAATGATTTAACGAAAATTGATGTCCTAAACTCTTGATTCAGCTAATCGCTTAAATAAAGCCAGTATTCTGATAAAGGTTTTACCAATATTTATCATTAAGTGGCCAATCATTGGTGAGTGGATTTTATCGCATTGTTTGCACCAAACCCGAACTAAATTAAGTGTTAACTATGCGGGCTTTATAATCAATTAAAATAATTAACTGACATTTTTGAATTTCACTTCGTACGGAAAACTAACTAGTTTTTCATCAGTAAATAACCTTATGATGAAAAAATGATTTCTAGCAGCTTTTAAGTCGAAATGACTATTTTATTGTGATAAGATACATATGTCGTTTGAAGATGGTATACACCAGTAACCTGTTTATATTTTTTTGAAACTTTATAATGTGACTAATGACTTAATTCATGATCCGAGTTCTGTTCAATAAAGAGAGAATACTGTGTACTATATGGAACAGAGTAAATGAATCAAAGACTACCACACTAAATTCACCAGTTGTTAAAAGCATTTAATCATCAGCTTTCAACCTCCAGTAACTTATTACACTTTTTAAGAAGTGGAAATATTAAGTGGTTAATAAAGATTGACAGGAGACTCTGAATCTAGGCATCGTGCAAATTCATACTCATGAACACAATGCATAACTACCATCTCGATTGGACACATATATCTAGCGGGAATCGAATCTACGTGTTACTATTGAAATGTTAGGGTCGATAATATTCTGGCACAAGACTAAGATATTTACCACTGAGTATTATCTTTTAAATTTTAATTATTATTATTAGCTTTACTCAATATTATATTTTTGGTACGATATAGAATTTTCAGCACAAAGTATCTCAACAAGTTTCCGTTTCTTATTTCTTGATCAATCCTGACGATAAACATTAAGCGATCGCCAGTTAGATGTTAGTAGTCCAGTCAATCGATATCTGAACAATGTACATTCTTTTCTATGTATATTACCAGCAACCAAAATGTCTCTGATTGTTCTTTTTCTTAACTTATACAGCGAAAGGTCGTGAACTTTTCACAAACGCAACTTAATGGGTTATGCAATTAATTGACATAATAATCTGTTGAAACAAACAAAAGACAGATAACTTGTTGAAATATCTTGGCAGGAACAAGTAGCCCAGATATTCAAGAAAGTCGCCTATATGAGTAACAGCCAATGGTAGATTTACTTAGTTGGTAAGATTTTATGATAAATAGTTAACATGAAAAATCAACGTAAGGAAAACACCAATTAGAAGTTATCAGAAAAATTTATTTAAACAATAGGTTTGTTCCAAAGAAAACAAGACATTTCTTAATACATATATATATCACAACAACCAACACAGAAAAATGAATCAAATTGATAAACGATGTGACAAAATGAATATTACTTTTTTTCTTTTATTATTATTATTATTATTATTATTATTATTATTATTAATGGCTTTATTCAATATTATATTTTGGTACAATATAGAATGCAAAAAGCTACTGAAAATAAACAAACTACATAAAATCAACATGAATATACGAATAAAGATATATCACAGTTCATTAATGATTGTTTGAATGTAAACTACTGAAATCCCAAATAATTTAATGAGTAAACAAAAACAAACAACAGCCATAGATAATCTGTACAAACAATAATAATAATAATAATAATGTAGGGATATTCTTACATGAATATTATAATTCAATAATCAAATTGAAGCTCTGTTAATGCTGTCAAGGTTTTAATCTAATAATAGATTTCGTTTGATCTAATGGATTCTGATCGTTAACCGATAGTGTACATTTTACAGATTTGGAAGAGTTGGAAACTGTAAAGTAATGATTGGAAGGTGAACGCTTTAAATACACCACATCATAGCACACACACACAAACATGCATATACAATGAATGATTTAGTTAAAAACAAGAAAAAATAGCCGGGGAATTTTAAGTGAAGATCTAAAAAAAACAACCTATATGAAATCCGCACGATAAAATCCAATGGTATGTGTGTGTAAAAAGGAAGCACCTTCATGATTTTCACTGGTTTATTTAAATGCAAACACGAAACGAATTAATCATAGAAATACACTGCTGATTCGGATACACGAATTGTTCACATATAAACAGATATGTTACATCATTATCATTGTTAGTGCATACGTTGGGAGAATAAAAATGTCTTTGTTTCAGTATCTGATCTGTAAGAGAAAAGTGGAAACGAGGAAGCATATAGGACAGATTTATTTCTCAACAAACATGTGAAATATATTGAATACAAAGATATGGCATTTTTCGACATGATTTCAAATAGAATAAGAAAAACAGTGATTACAATAAGGTAGCGGAGATTTTTCTTCTTCAGATTACGATATATGCTATTATGTAGTCCGATTAATTGTACCACAAATCAGTCAATCATTTTAAGCTGGTCTACAAAAAGTTGTTATTTCATTAATTACTAATAATACTATTCAGTTACAAAACAGGCGTTGTTTTATAGTATTCGTGAGGTCAAATGATATATAAGGTACTAGCGACGGAAAGGGGGCACGATAGCAATTGTATTTTTTGTCAATCCGATTACATCGGTATTATTGTAGTGAATCAGTGGGTTATATCATGTTCAGACTGAAACTTTTCAACAAGTGATATGCTATATGCATTTGCGGTACTGCTAAATTGCATGATTCAGTCTAACTTTGCAGTTAGTACCCAGAAACAGTATGAAGAGAAGCGAAATATAATTTGCACATTATTGAAAAGACAGTTTACAGAAATATCCTGCTCCATAAATATGAATTTGAAAGTGATAACAAGTGAAAAGGAGCTATCTCTGATTATTATTTATCACATACAGAATCGTTTAATTTCTATTGTTATGTATTTGACAATGGGACTATGGCTTGTTAGTACAGATTTCCGACTTTCAACTAATAGAATATCGACCGGTAATTGTATGTGATGAATCTTTTTAGAGATACGCTCACACTGTCTTCCTATCCGGTTACTATAACTCCAACTACTTCTACACGTCAACCGGAACAACAGAGAGAAGTCGTGAAATGCGAGTTAAGGCTTTACTCCAAGGTTAGTTCACGCACAGAAAAAAAGAGGTACTTAGTTATACACGACCTTGGGCATTAGAAAATTCCCGAAACCATACTAAATAAAGTAGCAGTATACGTAAATATTTAACCAAAACCGTGACATGTGATTCTGCATTTTCTAGATGTCTCCGCGAAGATTCAATTTAACGCTGATTGGACAAAACGTTTCTTAGCATTTCTGGTCCTCTAGAGACTTTTTCGAAGGATATTTTGGGATTCTTCCCATAGTACAGTACTCTTAGCTTTTGTAACATGGATGCCTCTACAATATGTCAACACGAAAAGTTAATGATAGTTATCGGTTCAGAATAGACGGATTTTCGGAGTCATGATGATTATGATGATAGAAAGTGAATTTTAACCTAACTTTTGGGGCGAACATCTTCCCAAACACCTTTATAAAGTTTTGCAGTCCATGTACCAAAGACTGCTAAAACCAACAGCCATTAAGGCAGACGATTGACTGGACGTGGTAGATTAAATTTAATTTGTAAGGGTTTGGATTATCTCTTTTTTGATAGTATAACTAAATCACAATTGATTGATCACTGGATGGTGATCAATGTCATGCTTGTCTAGTCCTTATTAGTGCAGATTGAATGCTATCGATCATGTTAGTCACGGCTCGGATAGCTCAGTGGTAAGGTCTCTGACTGTGAAGCTGGGTGACACGAGATCGAATTCGCTAGGGAGCACCAGTTCCCTCAAGATTACAGGTACACATTGTTGACGAGTGCCAAGTAGCACGAAACCCGGGTCCAGGGTTTCCTGTTGACTACTTCCAACCACCATCTAAAAAGTATAACTAAATTCTGATCAGTCTTAATTGGAATATGTGCATTCTGTATGAATTAATATAACCACAATGTCAGAATTTTAGATAGACATAGATAAGATGTGTCTAGCAGTGGAAACCAGGACACCTGTTTCGTCACATTTGAGACTCGTTAACTGGATGTATTTGCATCCTGGAATTGATATTCAATCTGGAATTCGAACCCAATATCTTTCACTCCGAACGCCCAAAGTCTTACCCACATGACTACTGAGATTAGACAACCACTCACTTATGTAACGAGTAAGAATTTTAATCCAAATAGTATTGGACTGGATTACTCTTTTGTTGATAACACGGTAGAGTCTGTAACGAAAAGTACTTGGTTTGAATACGGTAGTTAACAATGACGCCAAAATGCAGGTACATCCAGCTAACAAGTCTCAAGTAGAACAAAACAGGTGTCCAAGATTCTACTGCTAGCCACTTTCTATGTATACAAATATAGATTAAAGTTTTATTTTCTACATTAAAAACTCACTCATAAATTACATCTTCGTCAGAATCATTTATCATTGATAACGATGGATTATCCTTTACATCCATTTCTATAATTAGAAGAAAAAAGTGAATTTATCAACATTTTTGTAAAATTGTACTTAATTTAAAAAATAAACGTTTATAAAACGGTCATAGATCTTTACAATTAGACTATTCGTGAATTGTTCAGAATCAATTACTGTATAGCATACATTATCCATTAGTCATACGCACCGTAGAACCTAACAGAAATGTGCATCAATTCAAGTTCCCATATGACATTAGCACAATGAAATGAAATTGCTTCTTGACAAATCTCCGAGTATATATATATATATATATATATATATATATTACTTCGTATCATGTCGAGGTTGCGGATAGTCAACCTAGTTAGAAAGAAAGCTAACGGTAAGATATCACTCCCCGACCATATAAATACTACTTCATACTATACAGAAGACAATAGTCTAGAAAGCTCGATTACAGTTCGGAACAATGTTGCAAACCCCCCCCCAAATGCCCTGGTACGGCCGAGAGTTGGGAGAGTTCGCTCTCCCTCTCGAAATGCTCTCACATGGCCACGCGTATACAGCCTCTGCCAGGGAAGTCCTACTCACTGCCTTCTCTTGGCAGGGGTGTTGTTTACGAAAATGAGAGGACGAAAAGCGAATGTCCAGCGCTTTAACCGGATTCCAAACCAATGGTGCTCATGGGCTCCAGTATCCTGCGGGAACAAATGGAGTATGAACCAATCGTTGGTCACTGCCTTCCATGGGACTGCATCTCCCCACGATGCTCCACTACCTTGTGGATCAGACCTTCAGGTCGAGGGCTCGGGGAGTGGCCTTCTAAGAAAACCACCTGCTTCGGTTTTGGCACCCGGGCAGTATCACAGCCCTCACACATGTCGAATGAGATTTGTGTGGCGCATATGTATTTGGTGCCTCCTTGTACCAATATCTATGTGTTAAAATAAATAAATAAAAACCCGAGTGATCACTTAACAAGAATACTTGACCGTTCAAGAATATATTAGTTACACTCCAGTTCGTCCATAACATAATTTTAAACGAACTAGTATAATTTTTTTAGTGTGGAGGATGGAACCTTGAATAACAATAATGCATTCGCAAGTCCCCTGATACAATTTGTACGATAACTTAAGCTAATATCCTTCTATGTATGAAGACCCATCACAAAAATGTCAGTAAGTATTTAGAACATTGAAAGGTTCATTTTACTCGTGTTGACTTAGTCCTCAAACAGTTACAATCAAAATGTAAAAGATCATTTGCAGTAATTGACTGTACCGTAAAAATATTCATTCTAAACATAAACTGAAAGGAAGAAACACTTTTTACTGACCAGCGTAAACCATCTTTAGTTGATGTCCACAGAAAGACAACAAACCGGTAGAGATATATGATGAACTTTCACAAGCTGTCTACTCTCGAACGCATCACTATCTGAACCTGATAACTAAAATCCACTAGTTATCACCTGTACTTTAAGTACTTCAATAATTTTCCTCGTTTTGCACTCGATATCACGCATACAATTTTCACACATCTGTAATCTCATCAATTGGTTTATATATTCATTTTATCATGAGGTTTCATTTGATCTATTAACTTCGATTATCCAATTTAGTCACTTGATATTTGACAGGCCATAGGACATAACAAATAAAACAATAAAATCTTTGTAATTAGACTATCCAGTTAACAGAACAAAAGAAAATACCTTGAAGTCCTATTATACTATAGAGATTGGTTGAAGAGCACGGTAAGAATAAAAATAGCAAATCCATGGTCTGAAGGTGAAGCAGTCCTGCTAGTTGTACTACTTACTACATTATCTTAATCCCCTTGCTGTTCATCTAGTTCACTTTATTTCGTTATGGTAATTGTGATTTGGAAATTTTGGTCAACATTTATTTTTGCTAGGCACTAAGTTGATCATCACTATCTGACTTACTAATACAACACGAAAAACATAAATCAGAACCCCTTCCTTCACAATATATTTTTACAATGCAGCATAATGAAATTACCAATATGTACACATATTTAAAGTCATTAAACTAATCTTACCTATTTGTGTATTATTTGGTGGAGAGTAAACAAATGCCAATAGAATTATGTATGAATTAATAGTGAATTGTATCAATGAGAATTCAAGTGTTGAATGATAACCGAGTATATCATTAAATCGATGTTGTAATCCTATGTAATTTTGAGAATCCTGCTGTTGTACAGTCATTTTACTGATATTACCCTTAACATTACGGACATAATTCATGGATTGAGATAATAATCTCTCATTAAAGTGTAATAGACATGCAAATCCTAAGACGATAATGAAGATTATTGATTGGAATGTTAGAAAATATAAACGCAAGTCTAAAATGAAAATTAACAATAAAAAATTTATAGGGGACATCATAAATATTTTCCGTATTTAAATAAATTACGTAATACTACGTTACAAAATAAGCCAACATATCGATGAAACTAGTAATGAAGCTAATATTATTTATGGTACATTGTTTGTGTGAGGATTAATGATACTAACTGATTGTTTAAACAGAAGGGGGTGCACGACTATGGCTGCTACTTCAACACATTGACCGGGTTCACATATTGTGATAACTTAATCGAGCTGTATTGGTTGGGTTACTTGTTACTTAAAGTCCCACTATAACAGGCAAGAAAGCTGAATAACGATTGTGAACATTACTGATGATTACTACATGCATGAATAAAGCAAAGTATAGGTAGACTAGAGTACACAGAACATCTAAATGGTGATGATTAAACTTCAAAAGTAATTTATCTACAAATTATCAGATTCAATCGTATAACAAGTTCTATACATACAAATGTATAAAAATCTAATTTATTTTGTAAGGCTTTGAATAATCCCATTGTTAAAAGTTTTGACTGAATTTTGACCAGTCTTATTTGGCATATGAGCATCCTGTGAGGATCGCCTCCATGTAGCTCTTTTCATAAGTTTTTATAGAATAGATGAATTATGGCTAGCAAAAGAATTCGGGTCATACATTTCGTTCTATCAAGGACTCGTGAGCTGGATGTATCTACGTTCCAGCGTTAATATAGCAAAAGAAAGTTCAGGTAATCTTGTTTTTGTTATTATGCATCATTTATTGCTTTAAAGGATAACCTCGATAACCTTTTTCTAAATTATATCACCGTAATGACTTTTGATGATATATAACTGGTTGTTACCATTTCAAGTATCCTAATTTTGTCATGCGTCTCAAAGACATTAGATTTGAAAATATGAACAGAATTGATTGATCTCACTCTTTGATTTCTGTTCGGAGTATGAAGCTACCTGAAAACCTCGACTTCTCTGTCTCATATTACCGTGTAGATTATTGAAGTTGTATATTAGCCACCATTCCATTGAGTGTTCTATAAAACCTGTTCAAATAAGAATATTCTCGATCTTCCTCTAGTTAGCCATTATAGCAGACCCGTGACGAACCTCAATCTCAATATATGACTGCCGCTCACACTGGGACTCAAACGTAGTACCTTTCACTTAAAATTACCAACGGGTTATCGGCTGAGCTATCGAGTGTAGATAGCCACTGACATGTGCAAAGAGTATGAATATTTATATTTATGAACGTTAATACAAACTATCTGTAGCACTACAAACCCTTATTGATCATTCATATCCATCTTAAAAGTGAGCGGCTATTTGAACTCAGTAGCTTAATAGATAATGCGCTAAGCATCTGAAGTGGAACGTACTGGGATCCAGTCCGGCTGTGAACATTAACACTGACATATGGCAGGTATATTCTGTTGACGAGCTCCATCTAGAATAAAAACCTACATACTGGATTCGACTGATAGCGATATTCCATCTATATACTGTAAAAGCGTACAAAATAATTCAAATAAAACCTGGTAGTAAGATAAATCCATAAAAAAATATCAATCACTTACTAAAATATGGTAATTTTCTTAATTTATGACAGGCTCGAATGAATAGCACAGCGAATAGTACCACATAGATAAAACCAAATAGACTAATAAAAACCACAGTAAACTAAAACAAACAATGAAAGGATAAAAAATAAACAACCTTAATGGTTTTTCGAGAGAGAGAGAGAAAAGGAAAAAACTATTTTCCAAATTTGTTTATTCTCACTGCGAAAATAACTATTCATTAAAGATCAGGAGTGAGCAAATCCTTTTCTATGGTAAATTTCCCGCAATAGTCAGAACATATGCAAGAAACTAACCAATATGAGAACACCTATTTAACAAGACCATACACTCAGACGACAATCCAATGGTGTATGATTCTAGCTTTATACGACCATTTTTATATGGTGTAGTGCTTAAATGAAGTTATAGACAAAATAATCCATCCGCTTTGCACTCGTTGAACGATTTCAATAAAATTATGGCTTCCTACAACAATGTTGACAAAAATTCAACCCAAAGATAGTCTGGTTGTTAACTACACGATCATTGCTTAATTACTCATTTTTCCTGGAGTGATTTTTACAGCTTTAGGATAGTTTACATTACAGTCTGACACCAACTGGAATAGCATTGCTCATTATGAGACGTGAAAGTCTTGAACCCAAACCGATGTGAGGAGATTGTGAGTGTGCACTGTTGAAGAGTCCCAGACTAGGGCGAAACAACCATTCAGTACTTTCTTATCGTTACTTATTCTCCAGCTGAAGTCAATTTTAAGACGAAAATGTCTATTTATAGAAAGTTTTATCAAAGCTAAATATATCTACACATCATTTTGATATGGATTAAAAAACCCTAAATTTAGTCATTAAAAATACTTCGTTGAATTATATCATCATCTTGAAACACTAGCTTCGGTAGCTTAGATTTGTTTTATGAATGTCGTCATGGAGACTTCTACATAGCGCATTATTTGCTGAGGTTGGAACTGGGTGAAAAAAAAGCAGGAAGGTGGTTAGTTTATGACACCGCTATGGTATAGAAGAAAGTTATATACAACTGGCATCTATCGGTCCACTATATTACTTTGGTTAAGATCCTGAAGATGATGCACAATTCAGTGGCTTCAGACGTTATAAAAAAATGGTAATTCCACTGAAATTTCCTATTACATTTGAAAAACCCAGAGGAATTCTCTCAAATGTACCTCTTGATCAGATTTTTTTATATCTAAACTGTATCTTCTATTAAACACTGTTCTTATCCACCTATATTTCCTTATACTTCACTTCCCATCCTCAATTCTCCTTGGTGTTATTTCTTTAGTTGCGCGGTGTACACCATTTTTGGCATTCAGTTGTACCAGATTTTATGTGTATTAAACAGATAAATGAATAAGTCTTTGTGATTACCGTGATAGATATCTTGGTAAAATATATAATCAAAATAAATTATTCAAGCATTAATTTGTACAAAAAAATAACTTACGATAAGAAGATCCGTATATTCTAGAATATCAAACACTGGTTCGTGATGTTCCACATAAACTTTCCAAGTAATTAATAAGAATATGATTAACCAGAATATGCTAATCAAACAGATTTTCGGTAGATAAAATTTCTGAAACGTCCTTTTCGACTGTATACATATATATGCAAGAAGATAAAAATGTTGATTAGTTGAGAGAAGAAATTCAAATAAAAAAGTCAACAAGAATACAGCCTTAATAAAATAAGCAACGTATTTTTTGATGAGATGATGTTTATCAAAGTTGAAGGGGAATTTCTGAGGCGACAGACAATTTGTACTGCCTCACCTTTCATCATGAATTCAATACTTATACGTTTGCTAAGTGAATAGATGTAGTCAGCAGGTAATCTTGATCGACTTAGGTTTCGTGCTAGTCGGCACTTGTTAACAAGGTCTATCTGATACTTCCTGTGCGATTCAAATCCTCACAACCCAGCTCTACAGTGTGAGATGTTACTACTGAGATATTCAGCTAGTGACTGAAGTCCTATATGACTGAAACATTTACAATTGGTTGGTCACTAAGTGGTGATTACTATCATGTCTTTCTACTCTTTGAGTCTTGACCGAATTCTATTGATGTCTATATGTCATTAAAGAAGAACGTAAATGTTTTCCACACACATAACCAAATTATCGTAACTTAATCACTAAGCTTTTTATAGTTGACTACTGTATAAATAGGAAATATATGTAGACATAATTCAATATAACTTCATTACTTATGGAATGACCTGGTGTTAAAATTAAAGAAGTTTGATAAACATATCAGCTGCTATTGAATTGATGATTCAAAAATTATGATTTTATATTCAATAGTAGTATACTAATGATGATTATCGTAAAGAAACAAAAATCATTATATATGATCATTTTAGACAGTCCCATTATTGAGTTAGCCATTGATAATTAACATACAGTCTGGCACATATATACGTTAGCGCAAGTTTCTGTACCACATTAGTACGATGAGACAAATCTACAAAGACGAATAACAAAGGAGTTGGACTTATGTGATGCTAGTGATAATCAAAACGACTCAACATTGAAGTACATGATCCCACAAGACTAAGTGAAGAGGTACATATGAGGAAATACTGGGACTAAAAATAAAGAATAAGGTAAAGAGTAAATGACTCGGTACTATTTTGACCACTGGTTATCAAGAGTGATAGCTTAGTGGTCAAATCACTTGTCAAGGTACGAACACGGCTTCGGTCACTTTGGTTAGAATAACTGAGAGGTGAAGGAGAAGCATCAGTAGTCCTCGCACACAATAAAGTGTGGCTCAAAACGGTATACAGAAGCCTGTAATCGCTAAGTAATTTAGTTATTATTCTCAATTCGATCGATCAGTCAGACAATACACTTTTATGGAGAACTCCGATTAGTCTATGCATTAATTACATATATGGAAATATAAAAATTAAACATATATATTATAGGGATTTCTAAGTAAACATACCGCAGCTTAATTGATCATAAGCAATCTATTAATTTAGCTGTATCTCACTTGTATAGTTGAGGTGGATTATAATTACATGTTCAAATCGTAACTATTTGTTCGTAGATTCTCATCCTACTACCTGTAATCCTTTTTCAGCTTAGATAGTTGAGGAATGATATCACTTTGACTTACATATGATACAAATGTGATTTAAAGCGTAACCAAACACATGAATCTACATTCGATTGATTTGTTCCAGTCAAATTCTAAAATCTGAAAAATACGATCCGATATTTCGTTTATCTGATTCTGATTTTTTTTAATGCTAGACAACTGGATAAGCTAATACACAGTATGTTTGGTAAGTATTTAAACTGAGAGCTGCCAAGAATACCAGAGTTACATAAACATAACGAAATAAATAATCAATTACATTGTAATCAAACGCTTAGGCTGATCTCGGTAGCTTGTCTCTATGAAATTACTAGTCAATGAATTGTTGGTGTATGGATGGATATTCATGAGTTTCTAACACGTAACTCAATGATCACCACAAAATGGATCTTCCTACATAGTCACTAGAATAAAACACAAAATGACTTTTTCTAGTTCCTGAAATGCGAAATTACCATTCATGGAAGGCATGAGGCAACCAGTAGTAACTAAAATCATCGACTACCAAAGACTTTCAAGGATGTTTTAAGTAATCAAGATGGAGATCGTACAAGTGTACTAACACAAATTATGAGTATTTTGAAAAGAAAAAGATCCATTCATTCTAAATTTTATGAAATAAATTTGTTATAACTTTAGTTCATGTATCTATTGGACAGAGGATTATTTCACATTGAAAGATTTAACAAAATAAATTCAGTTATGAAAGACAGTAATACAATTAGATTTTTACTTACAATTCGTATACCATGGAATATACATAACCAAACTAATAATAATACAGCGACAAATGTGATTTGAAACAGATAACCAAGACATGATGGAAACCAGTTTGTTGTTAAATATTGAAGGGGATATAAAGGATCTACATAATGCATAGAATGAAATTCTTTTTTGAAACTTCTTTAACGAATTAATTATCTGTACATCATGATATAATAGGATTAAACAAATTTTTAAGCATGAAAAACATTTGTCATACAATACAATGTGATGGAATAAACAAACAGACTTCTTGTGTGATTTCTAGAGAGAGTGTGATCGGACCGTAATACAGGAAAGGAGTGGTATTGACCTAGTCCAAGTACTGATTAATTCGCCTAGAGTTTCAAGACCAGTACCTATAACCTTCGGTTAATTAATGACACAAAAATAATGAGATAACAGTCAAGAATAACGCTTAACGAAAGCAGTTCCTTCACGCTTGTACACCCAATAGCAAGACAGAACATGCACAACAAGTAGGAATTTCTAATTATTAGGTTCAGTTCATGACTCAACTCATACAATAATAAAGAGTAGACTCTTGACCACATATTAATACAATAAAGAAATCACTGTCAGTATAACTACGCCATAGGTGAGAGCTGAGTAGTAGGTGTGTAATCAATTAACAATAACTTAAGAAAGGCACAACATACAATTACAGTTTATGAATAAAAAAAACGCTTACAAACAGGAGAATAAAAAATACAATAACTTAGATATTTCATTATTGAAGGATAAGAACATAAACAATGACTTCAGTTAGTAGTACAGTATCGAAAGTTCAATGTTGCTCATTACTTACTCAGTTATGACAAGGATGTGAACATTTTTAAATATTATTAGTACAACTAAATTATCATTTTCGATTTATATACTTTTACCAAATATTGGTGGGTATTTTTTATTAAGAATTCTTAACAAGAATAAGAGTGATTAGTGTGAAGTATGTGTAATATGACTAAAATTAAAGAACAAATATAAAGTTGCAGCTAGTCCATTACCTATCTCATCATATTTAACCAGTTATTAAATTAATAGGTAACATATCTGATAATGATATTACTTCTATTACCATGATATTTGTTCTCATGATTTCATCTCCTTGCATTGATATGGTGTAATAACTTGGATCGATGAACATATATGCTACATTCTATGTTGCTTATGACTGACTAGCACGTTACATAGGCCACACAAAGAGATGATTTCCCAAACGCATCTCAGAACACTATCCAGCTTGGCTCTTAAAAGGAGAATGTAAGACAATCATTAGTTCTATACAGTAGCATTTAATTAACTGTGGACACATCGCTCCAAAGGATTCCTCTTTTAAAGTAATCTACAGAGTCAAAGGAACTGCATCGAAGGGGGGGTCGAATCAATATTTTATGCACTGCTGAGGCATTGGCAATCCACGAACTCAAGTCTGAACTTTGCGTACAGAAACGATTCGTCCAACCTCTCATCCTTTCTTGGCTCTAATTCCCTTAATGGGTTTGTTCCTGGTTTTTCTTCTTTTTTTCTCTGAACTTTTATTTGATTGTTATTGAATTTTTAAATTGTTTTGCAATTTTAATCTCTATTCAGTTATTATTATTATTCAGTTTATTATTATGACCTTTGTGTTTGTCGTTTGTCCTCATATCTGTCAATTGGACTATTATCTGACCCATAAATTATTTTTTTTCCTTACCCTTTTATTAATACGTAACCTCATTTGTTATTTAGTCTCGAATCCATTTATTATGCAATCTTTTCTACCTTCCTATAGACATACATTTTCCATATATCTGTATATACGAATGTACAGCTTAAGTAAATGATTTCATCGAAAATAAAATTTTCTTCGCTGAATTCTCTTTTTCTTATTAAATTGACTCTCACCTTTCTCTCAGTCCGTACTTTATTGTAGACATAATCCATCAAAATCTAGTGAACAGATTATTTTAAGTTTAGTAACAGTATTGTAATGGACGAAGGACTTGGGTAGGGTAAGCCACTTTATTGTATTAAGCGAAATCACACATTGTATTTTGAAGATATGAAAACAATACATTGAATACATAATTTGCTCATCCTCCTTGAATAATCTTTCACAAGCTCCATAGTTCTTCTATTCCTGTTGCTTCTCTTCATTTCCCTATTCTGTCGGTAACGTTACTACTTCCAATTCCTGATACATACTACTCATATCTGTTCGTATAAGTAGTACACATTTCAGTAGTAATATAAAATCAATGTAAACCAGTGAATTTACGGTAATTCATACACTAATTTAAAATTGTTAGATAATTTTTTCTTTTATTCTTAGGTTTACATTTTATTCAATGATTTTATACTTACTATTATAAAGTATGAGTAGAGGCAATAAGATAGCCATACAACACTGTTCAATTGTCCAATAATTAAGACTGAATTTTTTCATCTTAATATAAAACCAAATCTAATAACAAAAAATAGAGAAAAAAACAGTTGCAAAGAAAAGTAAAGTCAACACTTATTTACAATAACTTAATAAAAGTATTAAATTAAATCTCAAAAAAAGACTGTCAGTTTAGGAGTAAATTAACTGGAAAATATAAACGGTAAAACTATAATTGTAACTAAGAAAGGCAACAACCAAAATTGAGAGAACTTCTTTCACCTTTTAATGTGAAATTCAAAGATGAATCAATGTTACCATTGTATTACATGAAAAATATATTTACAATTGAAATCACTTCGTATAGTGTTTACAACATTTGAAATTGTTAGAAACAAACTTTTGTTTTCATTATAGGGTATTCATGACAATGTTCAATATATCAAGTGTTCTTTTTTTTTTGAAAAAAAAGAAGACGTAAAACAATTAACTATTGTTTTAATTTACTTTGTTGATGGTAAACTTGTAAGGAAATCATTTTGTTAGTGATTTATTGAATGACCAATGAGTTGGTAGAGTGAGAATATTGAAATAGATAACAATTTTATTAAGTACGACTTCGTCACAAAAATACGGTGACAATGGTGGTTCACTTATAATTTCATCTTTGGAATTATACAGAGAATTTATGGATAGACATTTTATAGGTGATAATGACTGAGGAAGATTCGGAAGTTATTAGTGTAAATATATTACTACTAAGATTAATGATGTTATGTAGCAATATTTTTACAAAATTAATATTGGAAAACTGACAATAACCCTTGTAAAACTAATAACCTTCCTAAAACCATTAAATTCTAACAGGTTTTGTTAGTTCTGTTGAGAAATAATTTTGATTGACACAAAATCTCTGCGAATTGGCTTCAACACCACGTGATCATTTGGGAAATTGCTCAAGCTCGTTCCTATACTTATGTTTTTATTGTGAAATCGAATTTTTTCATAGATAAGAATTGATTTTGTGATGTATTTTTGAAGGTATTTAAATGCTAATATTTTTATTAACCTAAAGATATTACTTTAAAAGATTCATATTTTTTCACTCCACTTTATTCACAAGTCGGAGACTGTATAAAATAATTTTATTGTTATACATGATTAACCCTTAGGTTTTTTTATTAACTGAATTCATACATATTTATGCAAAACAATATCCAATTAGAGTAAATTATGTACATTCTCAACGGATTTATTCTCTATACCTCAAACAGGTTACTTGGTAGTTAAACGTTACGCAATAAAATCTTCGAAGATACTTAAGAAGAAATACATGAGTTACGCATGTCTCTAAAATATTTAATGGCCTCATCTTACAGTTGTGGAGCATCATGAAGTTAACTACTATAAAAAGTATTCACCCTTGGATAAATAGTCGGATAAAATACACCTGGTACATAAATGGTATAAGTTTGCCAAGCCAGATGAACTTGGTAAATTCATGTTGACATTTAGTCAACGACAAGCTAATCGAGGACCATTAAGATTTGTAAATAATCAAAATGACCAAAACATTCGATCACTTCACTATTTCAAAACTAAATGATGGCGAGGTTGAAAATTCTGAGGTTTGAAAGTGAAATTCATATCGTATTTCATATAGTAATGAAAAACAAATAGAATACAATAACTACATAGGAAGCATTATGTAGACCACACCTACTATATGAAAGTCAATGATAATATCAGATATAAAAACCGAAATAGAGAAAATGTTGTAAAAAATTTTCAAAACAACTGGAACTCGAATATTTATGACAAAAACCCTAACCGTGTACACATTAGTGACTAAAGAGTGATTTAACTTATTGACCGCGTAAATGTTTATGTACTTGGTTATGAGCTACACGGTTTGTGTGAGGACTAACGATACTACCCAGTTGCATAAACCGAAGTAGTTGAACCTGGGATTGAGCTTGCGACTTAATGGTTGAAGTGCTTTAATCAGGTCACACCTTCATAACTGTTGAATAACTTGTACATGTATTCGCGAAGTTCTGGTGAGAATTTATAACTACTGAACTCCAACTAGTTTGAAAGTGAGATAGTTACTCATTATTGGTTTTAGATATTCAAATGAAAACTAATAGATCATAATCGTAGAGAAATTACGATGAGATAGTCTAGAGGCAAAGCACTTGCTGCGATTTTTATCAATATCACGATTCGCCATCAAATATATATATATATATATATATATATATATATATATATATATATATATATATATATATATCAACGTAGGAGGTCTGTGTAGATCGCTGAATTTCATAGTGTAAAACACGAACTGACCTTAGTCAGACAAACACTGGAAACTGGGAATCACTGGACAGCTGCCTCTCTCTAGTATCCACAAAATCACGAACTGATTGAACACAGAAATTCAAACCATTTGATCCTGAATCAGTAGTCCGAAGGTTGGGCGCCTGTTGTGAAATCTGAAAGTCCCGGATTCAATCCTTAGTGGGGTTGTGAATGAGCACTGCTGAGGAGTTTCATATTAGAACGAAACGGCTGCTCAGTATTTCCTTGTTTAAAAAGATTGCTTAACTAACGCTAATTCGTTATACAACCCATAAAACACATATATGTGTTGGTCAGAAACTTAGTAATAATAATAATAGTAATGACAATAATAATAATCAAGTTCACTTACAGTAACTGCCTCTGAAATAACAAAAAGTATGAACTTCACTATTAATTCCATATAAGTAAATTGAATAGTATAATATTGAAAAATGAAATCCACACTAATTATTTTAAATAATAAATGTTCGCCTTCATAATCTTCGTATTTTAAATGATTATTAGTTAATTCATGATAGAATGTTACATGGAATTTATAAATGGTGAAATCAACTGGAATAAGATGAAATAGGAATAGTTCATCACATTTCTGAAAAAAATAAAAAAATAAACAACACAAATACATAAAAGTTACTCAGTTACTAGTGGAATTCTGACGCCCTCTCGAAAATAATTAATGGATCAAACTACTTCCAACTTGATATTGCTCCTGAATATTGATTCAAAACGTTTACGGGATACATTAATTATTGGAATGACATTTTCCATAAAAACAGTGAAAATTTATTAAGGTTTAGTTGCGGCTAATAGTGGGATATAGGACACGTATCTCGCTCTATTCGGAGCTCACTAGTTGGATATACCTAAGTCCCAGTCTTGATGTTCACACAACGAGACTCGAATCCGCTGTTTTTCTCCTTAAACGCTAACATGTTATTCACTAAGCCCCAATTTATTATCTTGAAAACTTCATTAATTTGTATTGTGTTCACAAATAGAAATTATTGCCATATACTCAGAGTTCAACTATTATAAATAGATCTACCTAATAAACGACAAACACACTATGCACCATAATGATAATATATTGTTGTCCAATAAAGTTCAGAGCAAAGAAACTTTCAGGACAATACTGAAGAATAAATTGTTTAAATCAATAATCTATACTTCTATGACAGCAGTGTAGTCGCTGTAGACAGTTAGAAAATAATTGATGTTAACCCTTTGATCGGATGAAAGTCACGACACTGATTCAATACATTTGTTTAAAGTTATATGGGAATAATTAATTTTCTTCTCTGTCTGAAGTCCGCCGAAAAGTCAGTAGAAACACGGGAGTGTCAAGTGAATACTGGCCGAAGCAGCCGCTTAGTGGCCAAGGTGTCCGACGTTTAGCCACTAAGTCCGAGGTTCGAACCCCGGCTCTGCCTACTTCTGTTTCAGCAAGCAAGTAGTATCGCTATCCATTGCACTTAAGGTGTAGTTTATGTTTAAGTACCTGGATAGTGAGTTAATCTAAATTTGTAAATTCTAAATAAATGCTAGATGAAAGTACAACAAAACTTCACTACAATTTTTCATCAATCTTGAATAGCATTGGAGATATACTTATCCAAGTAAGCATATAACGGACAGGTGCTTCGAAATGATTTAAAGGCTAGCTAAGCTGTTTAATTGTCATAGTTGATGTGATTCGCATCAGAATAATTGGAAGTGACCAATAAATGACTAGCTAAACAAATATTTATATATATTATTTTGTTAGGTAACTATCAATAATTCAGTCTGGTGAGCGGCACGTTGTATTACTACATACTACCAATCGATTAACGCATTTTATACATTAATTTAATCATCCTCAAAAATCTTTTCACTATAAATCGTAAAAGGCCAATTTATAAAAAAGACCAAAACAAGTAAAAATAGATAAAGTAGTTGACAATTACAAAAGCTAGGGAATGTTTTAATGATTGAGTTACTTGACTTTTAGCCAGTAAGATCGGGTTTCATCCACATTCCACCAACTTTGATTTAGGAAACTTAATAACGTTATTGTGCTTGACGCTACGAGTGTGGCTAAAAGTCGATCATATGAACCTGCGCTTCGGTAATGAATTACTTTGGTTTCAGTTATTATTCTAAGTATTTAAAAAACACAAAAGAAGATGAAGAGGGAACATATCTTCATTACTGGGAGAGATTTTAAACCTTGTCACGCAAGGCCTTTAATCATTAGTTCTCAGCACTATGGGGACTTAACACAAGATACTTATATCTTATTATGGGACTCAGACTAATGGTCAACAAATTGAAGAACTAGTAATATGTTGACTTGAGTGCTCTCCCATTATTACATTTTAACCATATAACGAAATCAAAGGGTTTAATTACAATGTGAAATAAATTAGACTACTGAAAATTAGGAAACGATAAGTAATGGTTATATTTTGTGCAGTAGGACTTGAAATAAACACATGTATTTGCAACATTTAAGCTTCAAGATGAAAATCTTTTGATCTAAATTAACTTATTCTTTTCAAATGGATGATATTTTTTGCTATGACCTAGTAGTTTAAAGGCTGACATACTCAAATGTAAAACTTCAGAAACTTATGTTCAGTTTCAAAACAGATTATGAACCAGTAATACTGTTTAGTAGCACCTCATCTAGGAATAAACAAGGTAAATTTGGTGTTACTAGCAAAAAGAAAATACTGTTTTCAGAGGTTATCGACCAGATTATCGTGATTTCTGTACAGGAAGCTTAAATAGCATGTTTAATATCAATTCAGTAACAAAAAGACAGTTTTATAAACATATCTTCCAATGATTTCCTATTAATTGTGGTAAGTAACAACAGATTACTAGAAAAAAATTGAAGAGGAAGTATGATCATTTAATTGTTACAAAGTAACGGAGACTTAAATAAACAATCGAATATTTTAAGCATAAAAAATACAATGTTCAACTTACTGTATCGGGACAATTCACTTGAATAGTCCGGTTGTGAATTGGACCCATTTGGACTACAAAAGTTTTATAATTCGGATCTGATTTAAACATTGCAATTTTACTCCCAGCAGTAGCTAGATGGGGTATCTGTACTTGAATAGAAGTATTGATATTTACTGATACTTTGGCATTTTCTTTATAAATTGAAAGTATTTATTAATGAATTTTTTGAAAAAGAATTACAGTTAGTTCATGGAAATGTGGGGAATAAAAGCATAGTTACATAGATCGTTAACCAAAAAATCACTAATTAATGTCGTTATGAGAAAGGGTTTGTTTGATTGCGTTGTTGATACTCTTGACTGAATTTTGATGAGTCTGTTGGCATAACTCAAGCCCTTTCTAATAATAATGAAACAAATGTCAAACTCGTTATGCAAGTGAGTGGCTATTTGGACTTAGAAACTAAGTGAATAACTCGTTGGGTGTTTGAAACAGAGAGGAGCGGTTTCGAGTCCCTGTTAGAACACCAGTGGTTGGATACATGTTTATACGGTTGACGAGCCTCGAAAACGGCGAAACGTGATTCCTGCGTTACAATACTAGCCACCCCATATAGACTACTTCAATTTTAGACTTTCACTTATTGGAACTACATTACAGCTGCTAGCATTCAAATGTAATGTAACTGGGCAACTAATTAGTTTTATGTGTCCTGGTTTGAAACACAAACCATAGAAGACGAAATGAGGTCTGAACCCGTAGTTCAACGATGGTTGACAGCAAAATAGGACAGCCGCCAAACTACAAATGTAAAGGTACTAATTTCAAACGACCAGAGCGCAAGTTTAATGAGCTACTGTGTTGCTGAAATTCATGAATCATATAGAATTGTTTTCTGGGTAAAATAACAATTCTTGCATAAATAAGTTGACACTATATATCTCGTTTTGAAAGATTTTTTAAAGATTCGTTTTTCTATTTCATCTAAACATACTTTATCAAATAATTTGGAAATGGGATCAAAATCCATTTGAATAAATAACCAGAGAATAACAAAAACTATAGTTCGTTACAAAACTAAAGTTAATACAGAAAACAATTAACAAATAAAAAAGATTACAAATCACATACGTTTTAAGGGCGCACGATTAATTATAGCAGATAACCACAGCTCACGATGAAAAACTGAAAGAGATGGAGAATCTACCTCGCATACACTAGCTTCTAAACTAGTTATACTTGGACGAATCAAAGTGGAAACAGTAACGGAATTTGAAACATTGGGACCTTTAGTGAGTAAATTTTAAAATAATTGTAGCATACCAACTAGACCAAAAATTATAGAACATCCAATAATTAGGGAGAATGTAACTGTGACAACAACGAAATAACGCTTTTTCATTGTATACAAACGCATTGGGACAGATCTGGAGATGAATAAATAGATTAATGAGTAAAAGTTATAATAACAATCAATCTAACGGTAAATATACAGTAGTAATCCATTGTCTATTTACTAAGTAAGCAGTAACTGGAAATAGTTACAATAAAAATCGACTGAACGACGACCTTAGAAAAATAACCTATTTAACTAAAAGTCTGTGGCTAGACCAAGAGGCCCACGTGACTATCGTAACCAATTGTTGGAGACTCTTGGTGACATGGCTCAGAATCGATCACAATGGAGTAGGTGTATACACTCTGTCTTCCCTTAAACTATGAGATTAAAGTCGCTTCATATCATTCTTTCTTTCTGCACCATATCCTGATATGTAATCGTTCTTTTATATATTACCACCATTGAATTAACTACTTCTATGAATCCGGTGTTCATCTCGCTGTGCTAATGTGGTATGGCAACTTGGACCGATGCATACATGTGCCTGGCCCTACGTTGTAGCTGAATGAATGACAGACCAAGAGGCTTGTATAATATGTACATGTTTGCAGTCACATAAAACCGCTACTTGAAAATCTCATGAGTTTATTTTCAGTTTTTTCGAGATATAACTGACGTTTAAAGACCAATCTTATTCTAGCCAGTATTATAAATCGGGATACTCCGTTAAAGTAAATGCTAAAAATATCCCATTAAAACTGTCAAAATGGCCCACGATAGACGTTCAGGGAATAAGCGACTAGGGAATTTGGAAAGCTATCAAATAAAGTTAAGAAACAGACTAGTGGTGAATTTGCTATGGTATGCACGCTACAAAAGAAATGAATCGTAATGCATAGATACAAGTTAGACTGAAATTCACATGTGCTTCGTTTCAAATTCAAACGACCCCATAGCAGTTAACTTTCGTTTGGCATACTTATGTATTTACAAGGCGTATCAAAGTTTTTGTTTTAGGATAAAATAAATGCAATTAGGGAATGTTACTGTTCTCTCTGCAGCGGAAATCCGCAAAACTCACCTAAAGCTAATGTGATCTAGGTAATCTAAAATTGGATGGCAGGTGCACGTAACTGTCTGAATTAGTGCAGTAGTTTGTCTGTTATTTTAGAGACAAGCTTTGCTACTCGTGGTAGTAAAAGTGGGAAACTATGTTGGGATTATCGCAAGTATTTATCCCGATATATTTAAGATAGCACTTCTTTGAAGATATCAAATGTCCCACCCGAGTTGTGATGTACATCACAATGACATAAAGAGAGAAATCAAAACCATTTCCTCCTGACAGCCGAAAAAGCAGACATTTAAGCGCGTTTCCCCATTATTTCCCCTTTATTTTTCAGCGTACTTCACCGCTTATTGGTTGCTTGGAGTAGCTAAACTGATTGTAATCCAGAACACGTATTATTTATTTCATAGCATAAAATTTAGCTTATTCACGGCAAGTAATATTACTTGCCTATATAGGCACAACATTTACTCTAAGGGAGAACAGTTTGGAAAATTGTCTAGAAAAAAAATCATAATAGTTGCCGACTGAAACAAAAAAGGATTTGGCAAAAACTTACGTCCCAAGATCTCGTTGCAAAAACATGGTTACGAGTAACTAAGATTCCAATTCGAGTGAAGGTTTCTTATAGCAACGCACACCTCCGAAAATGATACAAGCTGTTCACTAAACAATAATCAGAATATTTATCAAAGATATGAATGGATCAATTGACTGTTTATCTCACTTGTTGTTATCTCGGTACGGTTCCAGGTATCTGGTAATATATATAGAGGCTGTTAATATGTACATCTAGTATCCGGACCGATCAATCTATTCATTCTTCTTAAACCACATTTTTACCCTTTCACTTATTCACTTATTAACCCTGACTGTTTCTTATGTGACCGTATGTGTGTGCATTTCTCATCACATGTCCATAACTTTTTTGTTTGATTTTAAACATCGATTCACGCTTAACCTTATACACTCCTTAATTTCAACGAACGAACTATACGTAGCCTACTCAGTCGACAACATCAGCCTTTTGCTCGTACTCCTCTTTTTCAGATCCACAACTCCTTTAATGGTTGCATTATTCTTCCTGATTTTTATGTTCTTTTTTATTGCAAGCAGATAGATAACTCATTAATCTCATGGATGCTGATAAAATATTGCCGATCATAAGTTGCTCATTATGTCCTAAATTATTGTGAGTCGCTCATTGCTTTATTTTCTTCTGAAAACTTCACAACGTAAACTCTTGCATATTCTTCGTTGTTCTATCTATCCTTACCATCTCTTAACCACATATAATCTGACAACTGTCTTATAACTTATACCATTAGTTATCTTCATAGCAGTGTGATATACTTAATGGATGTCTAACCCACAATACAGAAGCCTTAACCATTTAATCTGCTTGTAACATGGAGCTAGTCGAGACAGTGTATTCCAAAAAAGATTTTACATGAAAGCAATATTCATACACACCACAAACGTAAGAGAGCCTAATATTACAATAGGAGAATGGGTGGCGTTACTGACCAGCAAATCTGATAATGGGGAGATAACATCAATTCACTCATGTCTGTAGGGCTGTACATGCTGTTAAATTATGACTCATTATCATCAAGTGGTATGTCACGAAGCTATGGTATTGATGATGCTTTATTACGCAAAATACCTCTTTAAATCGTGTTTGTAACGTCGAATTGGTGTCACTTCCTACCGAGTATAGTTATCGCAAGCAAAACTAGACAATACGCCAAAAATGAAATCTGCTCATAACCCTGTAAAATCAAAAAAATAAAAATGAGCTGAAATAGGTACGATGAAAATGGGAGATAGCCGTTTGTGTATCAGAATATCGTTTTCTGTACTATATTTTAAAACTTCTTATAATGCCATAATTTCCATGGACGGCGTCAGCGAATCGTATCAAATGAGACGGAATATTTATGACATGAAATTCAGACAGGTCAAGTTTCAACCCACTGTCTGCCGCCCGTTTCGTCACTATTGTAGGCTCCCTTTGAAGCATTAGTGAATCCCTTCCGCCTTTTATGAATCTCCAAGCCTTTGCGTCGTCTGCGTAAATCAGTGCCGTTGAGCTAATTTTATCTACCAGATCGTTGATAATGATCAAAGTCAGCATCGATGTTATAGCAATGCTGCAACGCAGAATATATCTCCACTGGTGTTGGTGCCCGGCCCGCCAACACTAGTTTACTAGAGATCCTCTTCTTTGCTTTGTCACAGCTTTCGTTGGAGTGGTTAAGAGTTGGCCGACAACCTATTGGTAACGTCAAATAATTATATCCCAAATATCTATTTACTTCCTTATTTTGTGCACGCATTGTTTCATATAATCCTATATTGCGTTAAAATCAGAACCCCGCACTTCAGCTATTCTGTTCCACGATCTAAATAAAGATATACTACAACCACTAGTCTGGCTTTCTATGCATATAAAACGAGGGATAACTACCAGTTCAGACGGCTTTTTCATATTTTTGTCAGGAGATAAAAGTTACTCAACGTTTATAACCGTGGAAGAGGATACTTCAATCAAACGGATAAGAAATAGCGATATCAACACTTAAAAGATACAAAATGATTGCCTCTTATTAGAACTCAGAAGTCAGGTGAATACAAAAAGGCCTAATATCAACGTGATTTCAAAAATCGGGCTAACATCGAGAACAGATGGCATCGAAATTCAGTGTTTCGTTTTTCTAATTTTTGAACAGTAGAATAAACCGTTGGAGGTTGACGTTAACTAGTAATTAAAGAATTACTTGATTATGCAAGCTGTTCAAAAAGTGATACACTATTCGGGGATTTGTATATCGACGAGATGTCGGATAAGAGACAAAGGTAAAACACCCACTTAGTTGTAGTGTATCATCAAATTGAACTTATGGTAAGTGGTTTCGTTCTAAGTAAGTCTTAGCCTTAGTCAAACATGTAAGTTAGCCTTATAGTAATTAACTGGAACACACGCTCATAATAATAACCTTGAGACAAGATCTTCAAAAACATCGTTTTATTACAAACTTCTGGGAACCGTAATTTCCATAGCTTCAGTCCAAAACATTAAAGATCCAATCAGTTACAACTTATGACGGTTTCTTCTGTCCATGGATCACCCTTTACTTACGGGTATGAGGTCATGTTAATAAAATACTTGACGCTCACTTTGAGAAATGATCACCTAGTCACCCTCCACACGTTTGTTGCTACCACAGTTTTCTAAGCAAATGTGTTAGTGTATCCTAACTTATGTATGGGATACATGAAGAAAGTCAGCTGTCACCTCAGCTGAAGACTGAAAAATCGACGTAGCCAAACCAGTTAGAGAGGAATGGAATTACATCCAGCAATCACACAACCAAATTTGTTGACCGTTTATTCCCTGAGCAATCACAAAGGAGAAAAACACAGCCATCCATGGATAACCAAGATGTTCGACATTTACTTAGAAAGTTGAGTCAAAGAGAAGAATAATGCGGGAACATTCATTCATTAAATCGGATGGCATAGCTCAGCCTCGCAGACGTGACCATTCTGTATAACATGTCCAAGTAAGATCTTAAAGATTAGGCAGTCAAACCATGACAAATCTACAATCTTAGGATTAGTTTTATCATCAGAGCAGTACTAATAACGAAGTAGACCATAATTCTACAGAGTAATACCGGAAGAAAGTAGAAGCCATAGTTGATTACTTCGCGGTGGTTTCACTCATGGTCCTCCACTCGACGAAGAACTGGGCACAGAACCAGTGACATAGGATGGGTTACTTACCAAGAACTTAACTACGACAATGTAATTTAGATATTAGGTTCTCTAAATACAGAAGAAGCAGCCGTACTGAAAGAGCTACATTCTAAAATCCTGAGGTAGGTCACGACATACAATTCTATCTAACTGACTACGATATTCAGGAAATCACTCAACCAGAGTGTCACCCTGAAGGGATGATGAAAATTCAGCAGATGTTGTCAGCAACGACTTTAGTGAGAAACATGATAGGGTTCTACATAGAAGACTCTAAGGACGGATCATTTACGATGGTTAGAGTCCAATGTCAATTCAACATTACATGGAAGTCACATCACCATATACACTGACTATCCCTATCGTACAATCAGCAATATGGCGTTTAGCACTTATAAAAAACACGTTTTTGCTGTGTAGGTAGATGTATATTCAATGGGAAAAACAATAGGTTCTGTAGTGTAACCACGCCTGCATGGTCGTGCCCTGACATGCTGATCAGTTGTTACTGCGTTCATCACTGTTGACATCCTCAAGGTGTTACATATAGAATGTAAATCTTCTCAGTAATTATACGCTCAGCTCCGAGAATCATGGAGTTAGTAACCAATACTTCCACAAATTAGCCTATTGTTGCTCTTGAAATTTAGTCTATTTTTACCGTACCTAGTGTTCCTTTGCTTAAAAAGTTGTCTCTATTCTCGTGCTATACATGGGATTGCATAAGTTCAGTAATTTGTAAACTTGTTCGTATTAGTTACAGAGGTAATCGTAAAGGATTATATGTACCGAACACTGTGTAAGTAAAACTGGTTTCAAACAAATGAATCGTAATTGAGTGCACGAATTACGAATGGTAGCTGGAAATTCGGTGCGTGTATATGTAGAAAATAAGTCTAGATATGACACGATAGTAGGAAGTTCTGTGTTGATATTTGAGATTGTGATATTATCCCGCTTAATGTGACAAAGATGTATTTATCTAAACAAACTCAGTGTTACGAGTGCTCAGGGGATTTTAATTGGTTGATTCACTCTGAGCAGGTACTACGTGTCATTTATTGTACTGGGCAGTAGGGAAGTGACCGACAGGTGAAAGAAGTCATGGGAGTTGAAATATAATCTCACCATCAGGCATGGTGCGCACATGGGTTATTTGTGAAGTTGACATTATGATGGATCAAGGTCAAAGGCATCCCATAATTATTCAGTCGTAATCGCACGCATCGTCAACATCGGTTCCGAAATTTGAGCAACTGATGAGGAAAATTTCTAGTGGTATGGATTTTCAATCACACGATCCTTGAATTCGAACCCATAATAATTGAGAAGATTTAGAGTCAGCATTTAACACCATAGAGAAGGTCAGAAATGGCGAATGCAGAAACACTATCGGCGTGGGAGTGCTCGGATATCCGGGTGTAATCACGCTATGTAACCTCTCGTTTCTCGAGTCAAATATATTATTCTCTTCGTAGCCCAAATCTGCATTCAGAAGTGCTAGACATTAAATTGCTGACTGTTACATAAAACGAGTCAGTATAGATAATTATGTAACTTTTTGAAAGAATTATCGGTCGGCTGCCCATGTGCCTCATTAACAAGCTTCAGTGATATTGGAGGGTTGCTTGCAACGAAGGAATAAATAATTGGTTCGTCATACTTATCACTTACAGTCTTAAAATGACTCTACTTTATAGCCAATGTAGGTGAATATGTGCTCGACTTATCATAATTCGTGACACATTATGTCCGTAAATTTATCCGTTAGCTGGTTATTATAGTGTTGAACAACTTCGATAGTATTTAGAAGGTATGGTTCAGTACCTTCATCTTTCATTTAATTGATCTTTATCCATGTTCACGGAAAGTGCGAGGTCTCGAAACCACTGACTTCTAGGCTGGGATTGGTTCATAATCGTGATTTAAGTTCAAGAATATCGTCGTGTTCCTAT